CATTATTTTCCTCCCAATAATGCTTCCCCTCATTTTTTATTGATGTTCTTTTTGATGAAATAAAGAACCGTGTTTGATCAGCAAGGGAGCAAAAAAAAGCAGGTGAAAAGGCGATTTTAAAGCGTCGTTTAAAAATGCATCAAAGGAGCTTTGAAAAAGTCTTGGCAAGCGGCTAAGTTTTATTCGATCCCACGGTCTTGCTCTCCCAATATCCCCAAAATAAATCAAGCCAGACATTTGAACAGACCATAATAGTTATCAAGGCTTCAAGGTTTTGGCCTGGAGTTTTTCCACCTGCCCCCCCCCCCCCCCGAGAGCAAGAAATGAAAGTAAAAAATAAAAATGTGGAATTGCATCCAAGCAAGACAGTTTGCACCGTTGTTGTTTTTTTTGCCTTCGTTTGTTTTAAAATTCCATTTACAGGATCGTTCGGGGGTGAGAAAAATCGATTTTCAGGCTCCGCCCCATGCTTTAGGCTCCACCCATTGATCTCCCAAGCTCCGCCCTCTTGATTCCCCCCCCAAAAATGAGGTTGCGCCGTAAAACTCCACACCGCAGCCAGTTTTGTTTTGGTCTTATTTATTCTTCTTTTTTTTAAAACCAATAAAAAAAATGTATCCCGCATCAAACAGAAATATGAAATTACAAATAATAATAAATCCCACAATAAACAGAAAATAACAGAAAATAAATTTCCCCTTTTTCTTGAGAATCCGCCTTCTGCGATCGCCTCCCTGATCAACGTTAAGCAGCCAAAGATTTTAAAGAACCAATTCACAGCGAGCTGATCTCTTGGGAGAGACTAGGACTGGCATCAAAAACCACGACAGCCCCTCCTCGTTTAGCGATGGCCTCGTTTTGTGTCCGTTACGCACCTTTTTGAAAACTTAAATGTTGCGACCTGCTCTCTCGCGCTCAGAACCTTTGCAGGCCCGTACAGCAAGCTTGGAATGAGATGGTCAGCGGCTACGGGGTTTACTGACCAACCGTTTCGCTGAATGACCAAGTGGACAGCCTCCATTGCGGTCACTAAATAAGGACGGCCGTCCTTCGCAGCTAAATGGATCCTCCATGAACAGAGGCAGTTTCCCTCACAACGGACAGTGCGAGGTTGGCATGGAATGGAATAATAACATTTCTGGTTTATGGCTTATAACAGCTGAGCATAGTTAGATATCCAGGTAGTCCTTGGCTCACAATCCTTCGTTTAGTGACTGTTCAAAGTTACGACATCCCTGAAAAGAAGTGACTTATGACCGCATTTCACACTTACGACCAACGTCTCACTTTGCAACAGGAAATTTGGGCTCAGTTGCGGTCGTAAGTCTAGGACTACCTGTGTAAAATGCTAGCAAAACTTTTTATTTTTGTGGCATTTTGGGGGATGCCTCTGTTTTTAACCGATTGCTTCTTGTACTCTAGTGGAGAAAGAGACCCTGTGAGATTCCTCCTCCACAAGATCTGTAGCCCTTACCCAAATCAAAACAGATCTGAAAAAGAGAATTTTCCACCCCTTCGGATCAAAAACCCGAAGCGAACAAACCCAAGTTTTGCTGTCCTAAATTCATCACATATATAAAAGTCTCGTTGAAAATGGAAAATCATTGCTGGGGTTGTCATTCTTTTCCTTTTAATAAATAGTATTGATCCGAGTTCTTGAATCGATATCCTTTGGATGCAGCTTTCCCATCTGGATCGCGAGGACAAAATCCAAGTCACCGGAGTTGCGCGGAAGTCTTCGCCAAATTCAGGTCCTGCCTGTTTTTAAGTCTGATAAATTATTCACATGGTCTCGTAAGTCCAGGAGGGGAGCGGGTGGTTTAGGATGCAGCCCGTATCTTATATCTTGCTCGAAAAGTCCAACAAAGTTTGCTTGAAATGTCCAACAACGTCCACCAAACTTCCGGAGGATCCGCGGTGTCTCCTGACTCGCAGAGGACACGTCTCCGACCCGCGGAGGACACGCCATCTGCTCGCCGTGTTGCTTTCTCGCACCGGGAGTCCAACGAGATCTCTCTCTCAAGAACAAGAGAGGATTTGCATGCTGTCCTTACCACACCTGTGTCGTGCGTTGCGCTTCCTCGCGCCTGGCACTACCGGCGGTTTCGAGGTCGATAACCCTGAAGATCCCACGTTGCCGTCTCGCTCGCCACGTGGACCTCATTGGGATCCACCCTGCCTGGCTCAATCTGGGGGTTCCTTTGGGGGGGGTGAGATTCCCTTCAGGGCCCCCGAGAGAGGAAGACCAATAGCAAGAGGCCGACGAAAGGCAGCGGGCTGCCGAGCCGTGGGGCGGAATTGTACCCCATGCTACGCATCGGGGTGTCCGGATCATCTGTGGAAATCAACGAGGAGATAAATAAGGGAGGGATGTTTGTCTCGTATGTGGAAGGAGGGTGATATGTCTCGTATGCACCCCAAAGATTTTTATTGGGAACGAGGACAACCCCACCGACCCACAATTTCCCAGAATTCCATTTCTGGGCCTACCTGATTGAAGGGTCCCCTTCTGCGTCGGGATGTGGCCAGGTGGTATCAGAGCTACGACGGAAGAAAGAGACAACGTTAAGTTCAGACAACCCCAAATATCTGGATACCCTGAATCCTGAAACCCCCTTCCCCACCTTCCATCTTGACTCCCATCCTTCTCTCTCCCCTTTTTCGCTCTACAAGCAGTCCTCAATGTACAACCGCAATTGAGTGCCAAATTTATGTCGCTAAGTGAGAACTGCTGCATTTTATGACCTTTCCTGCCTCCGTTGTTACGTGAATCGCTGCAGTTCCCAAGTTAGTAACATGGTTCCCCGCCCCCCAGCCTCCCCTCTTCCTCACATACCACTTATTGTGGTATGAAATGAGAGTCTGGCACCCCATAAAAAATTGCCCTCATTTAGTGACCAAAACAATTTGGTCATTCCATGAATCAGTCCCTAAGTGAAACATTCATTTTACAATCTTCCTTCAGCTTTCCTTTGCTTTAGAGACCCGCAAAGGTTATACATTGAAAGAACAGAGGTCAAATTAATTTTCATCATTGTCATGATTAAACGGTCGCTGAACGAGGCGCCACTAAATGAAAACCACCTGTATGCACCACCCTGAGTAAGTCTGAATCATGAAACCCGGCAAAGTCATAATTGTCGCTACGCGGCTCCCTTCGTCCAACAAATATTCTCTGTAGGAAAACCTAATGAATTACTTTTTTTTAAAAAAAAAAAAGCGGAGACGGCGAGACTCGGAAAAGCAATATTTCAACGCTGAAATACTTACTTTTCTTCCCAATCACCTTCACCCTCAATTTAAGACAGGAATCTCGGTGCCGGTGAATCGGTTTTGCTAACCAAAGGAAAAAGAGAGGAAAAATATTTAAAAAGCAGAAAAACTTATTTTTAAAAAATCAGAGAAAATATTTTTTTTTAAAAATCAGCTGGTGAGAATCAGAGAAAACAGAAAACGTTTGAGTAAGGGGGTCAGTCTAGAAGACCTCCAAGGTCCCTTTCAACTCTATTATTCTATTCTATTCTATTCTATTCTTTCTCTGTTCTATTCTATCTTATTCTATTCTCTATTCTAATTCTTATTCTAATTCCTATTCTATTCTAGTTCTCATTCTATTCTCTTCTTTATTCTAATTCTATTCTTTTTAAATTCTGCTCTAATTCTATTTCTTATTCTATTTCTTATTCTATTCTATTCTATTCTATTCTATTCTATTCTATTCTATTCTCTATTCTCTATTATCATTCTAATTCTGATTCTAATTCCTATTCTGTTCTAATTCTTATTCTATTCTGTTCTTTATTCTATTCTATTTTAATTCTATTCTAATTCTATTCTAATTCTATTCTAATTCTATTCTTATTCTATTTCTGATTCTATTCTATTCTATTCTATTCTATTCTATTCTATTCTAATTCTAATTCTAATTCTAATTCTAATTCCATTCCATTCCAATGTTCTAATCTAGTATTTTATCTTTTACATTTTATTTTTAATCAGGGTGCTTCTGCCACAAATAAACAAACAACCCTACGAGGTTTTGGTTTGTTTTCCACCCCCCGAAAAGGAGACTTACAGATATAATAATATTCATGGCCCTCCCGAAATTCTTTGCCGAGGGTGAACGGTGTGAAACGTTGGAATTTTTCGGAGAGCCGCTCGGGGCCATGAAGGGCATCCGGCCGGTTGCACTGCCAACGAACTTGCTCCTTAGACCGGGGTTTGCAGGTGTCGTATTCCTCCCGTTCCACCAGGTACAAGGTGTAGCGCTCCATCGCGTGGGCGGGGACGCTGTTATCCTCGTAGTGCGGACAGATGATGTCCAAATAGTCGTTGAGGCGGACCTCGACGGTGTAATCCTCCCTCTGGAACCTAAAAACGAGATCCAAAGAAAGGCTTTTTAAAAAAATATAAACAGAACATCAGAATCCTGGTTTTTTTTTACCCCAAACTTCCAAATTCGGCAATCATCCTTACTAACAACAACCCTGCAAGGTAGACACACACACCTCATCCTCTTTTAGGGAATCTACAGCCAAGGGAGAGAAGCCAGATTGGATCAACGGCAGTGTGGTTTGCTTAATAACGAGAGCTGGGAGCGCCTCGCTTAATGACTGAGCTCGCTTTAGGGAATCTACGCTCCAGGGAGGGAGGGAAGCCAGCTTTGTCTGAAGTGGTGTTAAAGATATCCTGCCTACGCAGAGGGCTGGACTAGAAGACCTTCCCAGGTCCCTTTCCAACTCTGTTATTCTCTATTCTGAGCTGGGGTTGGACTAGAAGACCTCCCCAGGTCCCTTTCCAACTCTGTTATTGTTCTAATATGGGTGGGAGAATGCAAAGATTGGTTTAATGACTATGTGGATCCTTTAAGGACTGCGGTGATTCTGCTTAATGAAGATAGCCCCCCCAAAAAAGGATGTGAAATCAAGCGTGACTTGGTTAGTGATTTATCTCGCTTAGCAACAGTTCCGGCCTCAAATGTGGTCGTAAGTCAAGATCTACCCCTATACAGGTTGACCAAGGGCATCTTAAGGGCCCCCAGAAACTAAATAACAAGGAGGGAGGCCTGTCAATCAATTTTAAGATTTAAACTATAAAGTATAGTTTAAATCTTATAGTTTAATCCAGAGCTGGGATTATTTCATAATCCAGTTTGATTCTCCCTCCGGCGGGGGAATGTACCGTTTTATTTTTCCCCCAAATTTGCTAGTTGCATCTTCAATCCCCTGGAAATTTAAATACGTTCAGTCTGGCATTACCATCTCCTCATTGCTGGGTTTTTTTTTTAATCTCTTTTTAATCGTGTCGTTTTCAAACAGGCGGCCTTCACAAATCCAATAAATGGGAATTAAAACACTTTCTTTTTTTTTTAATCGAGCGTGTCGTGGAATTAGCCTCCCAGTATATCAATAAGAGCCTGAAAGGGCCTTCGAAACTTTACGGAATAACTACGGTTCCTATCACCCACAGCCAAGATGGCTAACGGGAACCCTGAGGTTACTCGCAATCAGTTTCAATCCATAATCTTGCATTTTTGGCAAAAGGTGGGGGAGTTTTTTTCACGTACATAAAAGCATTAAAAAAAAAAGTCCCCAGTTTTTTTTAAATCCAGGAATAAATCTCCCTCGACCCCCATAAAGTCAAGTATACATGTTGCACATGGTTACTTTTTCCTCTTCCCTCCAGAAGAAATACTAATTTTTATTTGCTCTGATTCTCTTTTCGTTCATCTTTATTAGATGTAATATATTTCAGTTTTTCCTTGAACATTTGCATTTCCAATTCTCTCCTAACCCCAGACGTTTGCAAAATATTCTGCAAGATTTTTATTATTATTATTATTATTATTATTATTATTATTATTATTATTAGTCAGCCAGGTGTTCAGGCTGGGTTTGGCATTTTTGTCTACCTATAGTCATTATTATTATTATTATTATTATTATTATTATTATTATTATTATTATTATTATTATTATTATTTTCATCATCATCATCTATTGAACAGTTAGCCAGATGTTCAGGCTGGGTTTGACGAACGCAAGAAAATGTGCTTAATGGATATAGAGCCTGATTAAGAATATAGATAATGCTATAAAGTAATTTATGAAGAGTTTAAAAAGAAAAAAAGGGAATAGGTAATGAGATTATGGAATTGGATAAGGAATTTAAATATGTAACCATGGACAGGTTTGTCCTGAAAGGAAAAACCTGGAACCACAATTGTTCA